ATGTGTCTAATTAAAATTGTCTTAATAGCTTATGCAGGGGGTGTTTCGGAAAATGTGGGAAATCTCTCGGATCCAGATAGAACATAAAAAATAAAAGGTCCAATATAAAGTTTTTCCCTAATGCCTGTTTAATGCCTAAATTTTCAACACTGTACGATAAAGACTTAAAAAACATAAATGTAGAGAGCTTAAACCGTAAACTAAAAAAGGACTCCTCTCAGTTGTCGATTAAATGAACTGTTTACGAGAAAAATAATAATAAACTTTTGTAATGAGGTTTTTTTGATATCTTCTACAATAACAAAATAACCGTTACATTGAGCTTGTCCATACTAATGTGCCATCCTGTATAATAGTAGTTTAATTATTCACTATTTTCGTTTGCATAATAAAGATAGGTACATTTACGTATAAATAAATACCAGTACTTTCTCAATTTTCGTCAATTTTGAAAATCTTGGTGTTGTAAATACCTACTTTGTATAAAATAAATTTGAGTAGACCGCATACTAAACAAGATGCGGCCGCTTATTAGACCGGCACCGAATTATTACCCACACAACCCCAAATAAAAAAAATATTTTATGAAAAAAAATATGTATTAATTTTTGATTTACAAAAATTTTAATTGTTAAAAAATTTTTAACACAAAAGAAAAAAATTAAGAAGAACTTATTGTTATAGCAGAATCCAAAAAATCGAGTCCATAGAATCCAAAAAAGCCAGTAGAATGTTGCGCAGCCAAATCCGATATAATCCTGAAAAAAAAAACGTTATAGAGCATCAAATGTTGACAATAATACATACAAATTTAAACAACTACTCATAATTTTATCTATCTGTTGTTAAACTCACCAAAACGTAGTTTATTCAGCAACCGATGGGTCCAAAACATTGTTTCTTAGGACTGCGAGTGTAGAACTCATCGCCCTCGAAGATTTCCCTCGAATCGTCGCTGTCGCTCGAAACATACGGTATATTAAAGCTGATATTTTCCGCATATCTATCCGGCTGTTTCTCCGGCTGCGAATTGGAGTCCTCGGAATGCTTGGCCAGTCTGAAGTATTTGTGTATCACATAATCGATGCACTCCGTCGGGATATCCTCCGCATCTATCGGCATGTATTGGCACATGCTGCACGTCAACGTGGGCTCCTCGTACTCCTCCGAGCTGCTGAGGTTGGTCTCGGTGGACGTCATCGTAGAAAACGTGAAGCTATCGCTGGCGAAGCTGCTCAAAGACAAGCTCGAACACACCGATGAGGATTCCGACGTGGGGTTGTCGTCGGAGAAGAGCTTGAACAGCGTGTATTCCACCGATTCGCGCGTTTCATTCGCAGATATGGGCGTTGAAGATCTGTCGAAGAGGAATTGTTCGGCCGACTAGAAAATAAATTCGGTTTCAGTATAAACGCGGTGGAAAACGGCTTTGTGACCTAATTTATGCAAGTGTATCCTAAAAAATACATGTTACATTTTTAGAGAATCAACATACAACAGAAATAAATAAGTAAAAAACATAAAGAAACGAAAAATTTACAACACAACAGCTAAACAATATCTAGTTAAAAGTACGGTAAATTTACAAATATACTCTACAATTATCTATTTACTTATGTATATCAACTATCTGATCATATCGGCATTTTTCTATTCCGTATTTGTTCAAATTAAAATACATCGAATATAAATTATGAAAAATATTACTTACACAAGTTGCTCCGTTAATTTCACGTTCAATCGCCTTCTCCATGTTGTCCAGGTAGAAAATAAATGTAACAATAAACAGTCCACTTGCAAACCCTTGCATTTATACTAATAATTTGGAACGGATTTTTGATCGGTAAGTTATCTTTTAATGTATTGACCCAAAGATAATTATATTGGGATTGCATCTATTTAAAACTAATAGAAGTAGGGATTGGAGTTTCCCCAATATTCAGTTGTCTCGGAACTGTAATCCGAGTACCTGTGCAGTTTCGGGGGGTGCCCTCTATTATACTTTTGTTTTGTTTTCGGGAAAATGTAAATACCTAATTAGGACTCCCGTAGGATTAAGAATAAGGAACGTTCTATTTTATATTCAGAAGAGTATAATATAATTTTTATATTTTTAAATTTTCATATTGTTTAAAAGAACTAGAAAAAATGTTTTTTGAAACAGGAAGTATGAGTCTTTGGTTAATTCTAAGAAAAACCATAATATAACAATAATCGCGGTCTACCTTTCGTTACATATTTCGTCTCCCAAGTATTTAAATACTTTGACAGCTTTCATATTTTGAAAAACTGAAACTGGTTGTGAACATGTCGCACAAAACTGCAATGTTTATCCATTTAAACTTTAACTCCTACAGTTTCCCAGATCCCTTTACTAAACATCGAAAAAACTCACCCTGTATAATTCTAATACTTCTCAATAAATTGAATTACTTACCTCCTATTCCATACATAATATAAATCTTAAAAAATTGTAAAATCGTAAACATTTCGTTTGCGTAATGAAGATATAGGTATATGTTTAAAAAATAAAGATATTAATTGAATTAGCCACATGCTGTTCTATAAATAATACACTACCAGATTTTTTTGCTTAATGAAGGGGCATTTTTCCAAATCTTGCTGTTATACTTTGTATAAAAAAATTTGAAAAATTGATTATGAATGCCTACATAATTTTAACCTTTTAGGTAATATAAATGTTTAGTCTAGTAACAAAGCATTATTATGGATTACTGTAAATAATACTTCCTGCGATTAACTTTTGTCATCAAGAAATTCAGTTCAATTAACTCAATACCTGGCAGACTAGTAATTACCTAATCCTTTCCTTGAAGGAAATATTTTAGTAAGCTTGTCTCTGAACCAACAATTTGTATCGACCTGCTTTTAAATTAACAAATGCATACATTTTCAATTTTTTTCTCTATAAGCCATCTCAAATTTCAGTTAAACTAGGTACTTATAGAGTAAAAAAAGCGTCACGGAAACTTACATGGTACCTTTTATACAATTTCCAATGCGGTTTGTTTTCAAACGTTAAATTATACTTCGAGATTTCATCAATATCAACTCACATACATATACACACACACAATACTCGAGTATTTAATTTTTCTATCACGCGAGATTTTACCCATTGATAAAGCAATGATTAACTGAATATAATTGACTCTGGAAAAGTATAGGCAATTTCCACGGATAAAACAGAATGTATAATGTATAAAGTAAACAGAGATTTGCATTTTTTGATCAGTCGAGATTCGACCTAGAAATAGAATTTTTCATTATTGTCTTCTAATTATTTCAGCTTTATCGGAAAGCACAGAAAGGAAATAAAATTGAATGCATTGCTTAAATGAGAAGGAATAAATACCAAAGGAGAGCGCGAGTTTATGAAGGTATACAGCCAATAGCTGACGGAAGATGTTCCGGAATAAAATTAGGAATATTGTAATGCCAATTGCAACGTCGAACATAAATTTCCATTTCATATTCCGGCTGCAGATTCGCCGATCGGAAAGTTGGCTCCGCGAAAATCGCCTTTTTTTACTAATCTAAACTGGAAATTGGGGATTTCTTCAATGAGCTCATTTCCGGCGGAATATATGCCGGTAAATGATATTCGGTAGATATACGCACGGCGTTTTCGAATTATATTTCGGCGCATATTCGTTTGCTTTCCTTTAGACCGGAGATTTTTATTACGGCGAAAAAAAGATATTTCGTGTATCAATTTCAATTTCCGTGCGAAACGCGAAACCCCGAACCCGAAGATTATTTGCTTTCCGTATCAAATGAAAGGTAGATATCGATGGTTATATATAGATTTTTTAAAAAAAATAATTCGTAATTAACCGTAAAATAATTCTTTAAAAGATTCAAAAATAACTTTAATCACGTATGTAATTATTTCGGAATATAAACCTCAATTCCTTAGGGAAGAGTAATATATTTCAGATAGTATAATATATTGCTAAAATATTGAGTGATCGTTTTTTTATTTCTATATAATCCGAAACAGCGAAGTTATGCCGCAGGGGGCGCAGGTAAACCGTGTGAACCCTTCCTGGCTCGATAAGAGGAAAATATCGCAGTTCTCCCGTATCTACACAACATCCATTACCAACGATAACCCTCAACGTAGCGTGCCGGTAGGTACTCCCTGTGACAAACTACCCTCGCACGGTAATAGGACGACCCTGCCCCTGTCCCTGTCTTTATCTCTATCCGTTCGCGTGACCTTGCATTAAACGTCGTCCTAGCTCTAATTCTGGATTTTCCGAAACGATTCAGCTGCTTGTTTTTAACTTCACGAAAAATTAGCCAGCAGGTAAATCGAGCTTTTTAATATACCTAACTGAATTCGTTATAGGTTCACATGTTTTATCAATTTTTATGGATTATTTTTAGGCAGCGCTCGTTCGCTGTAACTCTTTCGTACCGGCTGGAAATCGTTTGTTAGTGTTAGAGAAACCGCCGGCTTTTCTCCACTTCACGACGATTACAGCCTTTCCACGGTTTCCTATTTGGTTTATTGGACGTCTTCGTCGATATTTTCATTAACCTTTTCGATGTCGGCTAATAGTACAATCAAGAGGAGATTTCCAGCGACTTAGTGTAGACGGTAAAATGTTTGGATAAATGAGCTGCAAAGGGAAAACGGGAATTAGTCGGAACGATGAGAAAAAATTAATAGGGGTTGGTTTTACTGCCATAGTAGTAAAGAGGTTGTTGTTGCTCAACGTGAGGCTTGAACAGATAACAAAAACGTTTACTGCCCTGGGTTTAGATTAAGTTGGAGTAAATATAAAATTAGGGTCATTAAACTAAACTAATGAAACCTTCATGTGTCCCTAAAATTGACAATACAGCTCACAGAATGTTTCAAGCAAATAGGCTTAATAATGCACAAACGAGTACTCTCAAAAAATAAATTGTATTCATTAGACTTGTTTTAGCAAAACAATAAAATATTCATGGAAAATCGTTATTTACAGATTCACAAAGGAGAGAAATGAATAAATTTCGGTCAACGCCTGTAGCAGGTGAATCAATATGGAGAATTATACAACAGAGTTTTCGCTACTTAATATATTGGATTCAAACAGGACAACTCCGAAATACACACTCGGACCTGAATTCTTTGCTCAATGGTAAGTCTTTATAAAAATATGAAACGTCCAAATATTATATCTCTGAAGTGTTAAAACGTTTTAACTCCTTAAGATCATTTTTTTATGCTTCTAAAGATTCGTGCCTCATCGTTAATATATTATTACTTCAAAATAGGTTTTAAACATTCTGTGTATAATATACATATTTGCTCTCGTTTTCAAAGCGACCTACGAAACTCCATCTTGTGCTTTCAATTACATGGACTTTGTCAAAAATTACACCACGAACTTTTGCTTGCTCAAAAGCTGTACGTTTGTTTAATTAACGGTCTGAGTATTTGCGGCAGCTGTATGTTGATCCAGCAATATTTGAACAAGATTTTAATTTTAGATAAAACGCAGCTCAGTTATTTGTTGAATAAATGAATACTCCGTCTTAATCACGCGTGCTTGCACGTGCCGTGCGCTAAAAAATAAATAGGAAGATTGTTTAGCTGGATCGCAATCAAACAGTGTCCGGAACACATTTATTGACGAGCTTGCATTTAAAATTGCCGTTGTTAATTGCCATCTGACGCAGATTTTCATTTCGGAAAATGAATAAAATAGCGCGTTTTTTTAACGAATGCAACGGACAAATTTAATGCAAATACCTTTCGGTTTGTTTTATTTTCCGATTTCCAGAAATGTTATTATTTGCTGTTGTCAGAGGAAAATCCGTTTAATTTCCGGGCTAATATTTTTTTACAAAATAATAAAGGATAAATTGCTTCCGTATTTTCTAGGTATATTTGTTAGGTAGGTACATTTTTCAGTAAAAAATGTATTAGCTTTTAAAACTTTTTGTTCATTTTCAAAACCCTCTGAGTTAATCATAAGTAAATCTATCTATAATAATAATGTAAAACTAAATGATGTATGTAATAAAATACTCCATCATCATACTTTCCACTATATCGTATTCTCTTATCAGATATATGTACATGTATCATTATTTTATGAAAGTTTTGTAAGCACCTACACATGCAAACGATGCGCTTCATTACTTTTTCACCGGCTGATTTCGGAAAGTTTCCGGAAGAAGAGAGTCAGCTTACCGGAATTTCTTAATTTCCTTTCATTCCCGAGATCCCGGGTTTTCCTCGACTTCCTTGTACCAACTCGGTTGATCTATAATGTAAAGGACAAGTTTCTAATTTCTGTCGGTAGCTGTTTTTGATCATCCAGGAATTTTGAGTTATTCGCGAAAGTATATCTCTTTCCGATTAGCAGTTTTGAAAGTATCATTTTGTTTGACCTGGCTTTTAAAATAAATAATACTTTTACTACTACAATTAGATATTGATAAGTTTTAAATCGGGTTAAAAAGTGCGAGGGTGGACATTTTTTGGTCTTTCCTGTAGAACTAATTTTGTTCGAGATAAAATTAGATTTTTCGCACGCAGCGAATTTAAGGGTTGGTGTCGATTTATTTTTTCACTCTTTGATGTTGAAACGTGAAAGTAAAACGCTGACCAGTAAGGTTAGAGACGTTGGATTAATATTAATGAATGTCTCTTTTGGTGTTTTAGAACGAGAAAATGTCATTATTTGTATTTGCTCTCTACGGGAGAAGTGGTATAATTAGAAAAATGACGGTAATCATAAAAATCAGGAGAGTGTGAAAATTTAAGTAGAGAAAAATAAATTAGATATTAGGAGAAATTTGTTCCACGTCCAATTTTCTCGTTTCTCTTTTTTGATGAAATATCGTGTTACTCACAGTGTTATTTGAAAACTCGTGTGTTTTATTGCATCGGTATAAGTACCTACCTACACTTTAGGTAATTTACTTAAAATTAATTAAGTCGTATTACACAAAATAAATGAAGTTTACTTCAAACTTCCTAAAAATACCATTTATTTAGATAATTTCCACCTTGAGAGCATTCCCACAGTACAATTTTTTCCAAACAAAGCTTATTATTAAACCCTGTTTTTTGATAAATTATAGGAACTACTTTAAATAAAGCAACAGTTTTAGTTAAAATAATACTTGCTAGAAGAAGTTTCAACAGGGCAGAGTTAGATGAAAGTTTAGGATAAAACGCGCTGAAATAACTTCCTCGTTGATTGTCCTGGAAATCCTCGAATGAGGCAGCTCAGGCGAAGGCGTTCGGTGTTTACCGTCCGCCTTTCGTGGATTTCTCTTATATTAGTTCCCCATTGGAAAGCGCGACTCGGAAAAGGCAGTGGCTACCAAACCAAGCCAATTTTAATAAAAATACTAACATTCAATATCTACCTTTCAATATTATTTTATATACCATTCTAAGAACAAACTTATAACAAACATGTCTTGTAAAAATGCGTATAAACATCTAGAATTCTCCTGTCGTATTCTTCTTCTTTTTCAATAACGTTTATTTGAAGGTTTTGTATGGTTGAATCGGCAACTTCAGCCGAAAAATCGATGACTTCGTCTTCCTTGGATAGTGCAGCTCTAAGAATGAACGCAGACATTGCGAATCCAAATCTACCGTATTTTCTCCAAGAAGTCCTCAATCTCTTTAACGTCAGCAAATCATCAACATTGATGTCGTATTGCCTCAAGTAATTCTCCAGCTCTTTATGATATTCCTCCAACAAATGGTCGAATTTGTCCAATACGTTTCTATCGGCTGTAGAGTAGAGGTAGTAGGATAGATCTAGTATAGGTGAAGCTAACCTGGACATTTGGAAGTCTAGTAACACCATATCAATTGGTTTAGATATATCCATATCCTTAAAAGTAAAACTAAATTAGCGAATTTACAATTAATGTTTGTAATTGAATTAGGTACTTTATACTTAAACATCATATTATTATTCCAACAATCTCCGTGTAATATTACAGCTTCTCTTTCAGCTTCCTTATCGTGCGAAAGCGTTAATGATCCACACATTTTTTTAAAATCGCTTGCTTCTTCTTCGATTTTCTTCGCCATATCTTGCTGTCCTACTTTCTTCAACACATTTAGGCCCAATTGATGAAACTTTGGAAAGCTCTCAATTAATCGCGATTTAAACAGAATATCGCCGAAATTATCGTTCATGTTGTTGGTGACTTCGTGGAAGAGTTCTGGTTTTTTTATTTTAAACGCCATACTAGCACCGTGCCATTTGGCGTACGTGCGAAATGCGAGTAAAGCTTCCTCTAAATTATGCGGTACGGTCCTGTCGTGTACCATGTATCCCCGGACTTTCATATTTTGTAAAAGTATTGCTTCTTTGCGATCCTCTTTGCTCGTGTAAAAAACAGGTGCGTAATGAGTAAAGCAATTTTTTATTCCATATTCCTTCTGTAGTTGTTCAATCATTGGCAAAACTTTAGTGTACAAAACTATTTCCCTGAAATATAGAAAACCTTCAATATCTAACATAAGTTTAGATATTGAAAAAGACAAATTGTTGAAGTGTTTATAATGATGTGATACCAAATTCTATTAGTACCTAGAAGAATTTATGTATTTTTAATTGTGATGGAAACTAGGGTAGTAAATTTTATTGGATGTTCATTATTGGATGTATACGAGTAGTAGGCACTAACTTACAAGGAACATATTGATAAGTTACCTGAAATAAATCTCGACAATTGGGCAATTTTCTCTTAGTTTTTCGCTCACTTTTCCAGCTTTAACGACCACGTCGTATATTTCTCCAGCATCTTTTCCTTCTTCGACTGTTACTTTAACGAAACATACATCACATGAATAACCATCACCTTTTGCCGAGTCGGAAATATCCAACCTATATTTTTTTACTCCTTTCTTTTTCATTATTTCGCCTATCCAAGTGCGAACGTCTTCGGAATTGATACTCATTTTACTGTAATATACCGAAGTACAATTTTAAATGATTACGTAATAATATAATTATAATTATTAAGGCGAATAGTTTATGTATTAACAACAATTGTACAATACCTACCTTGTTCTGTTATATGTCTTTCAATGTACTTCAAAACATCCAATTGCTATCACATACTTTCGTGAAATGAATTTATTTCAATAAGTATCAGTATATACGGCGAGATAAACTGAACAAATACTAAATGCATATAACTGTGGAATGATATGAATTCTTTGCTCGTTTCATTATCCCGCAAAGAACTTATTGTGCTATAAAATCTATTCATAATTCAATTCGTAATCCATCGGTAATGAAATAATAATTTTGTTATTTGTTCAAATTTAATGTTTAAATAATTTCGCAATATCAGATAATAAACAATATAATTTTATTAATTTAAATAAGTCTTTTATTTAATTTATCTCCCCACATGTTTAATGGTAATTTGGGTTAGCTTAAAGTATTATCGTAGAACTTATTTCGTATACAAAACCATGCCGAGTTTTCATCAATATCTAATGAAATTAGATATTTTAGGCTTCAAAACTGAAACATACCGCGTGTTTCAGAAATGCGATGGAAAAACATAAGCCCGAATTTTTATACATCACCTTTCATTGTTCGTATTTCCCAACGTGCACGTGAAAAATCCCAAGGATAAGTGCCTAACAGGGCGACAACTCCAAGTACTTATATCTTGATCCTGATATTTAATAGAATATCTGTCGGCAGGGTGCCGGACGATTTTCTGCTTTTCCAGGACTTCGTCATGGCAACGAAGTGAGTTTCTTGAAAATTTTCACTCGACAGGTGACTACCCACGACCAGATTTATTGGAAACTTTATGGAAAATTTATGTACTCATAGGTGTTACAATGTAATACCGAGAATTCTGTAAGAGTTTCGCGAAGAGGGCTTTCAGTAAAATTGGGATTAGGTAAAAATGTATTTTTGTTACAGATATTTTTGAATGATTTTTTGACAAAAATAGCACCTCCACCATAAAAAAATAAAATTTCATACATTATAATAGGTAGCTATTAAATATCTAATATCTATGCAACATGCGTTTTTATTAAAATATCAGAGGTGTTAAATAACTGTAACCTTAAAGAAAATTCTGATTAGTTCATTCCAAAGCACTAAAATATTTTCTGTGGTCACTAAATTAGCACTAAAATAAGACTAAATTGTAGGTACTGAATGAGCATAGGTGTATGAATTACATGAATACATAGGGCCCAAAATGCACCGAGTATCTAATTTACACAAATGTTTATACAGGTACATTAATGGTTCAATTATCTATTAAGTACCCCTACATCGCTATTACATCACTTTCGTTGCAATTTCCAGTGCGTGTATCGATTTCGAGTTGTTAGATAAACCGCCAAACCGAAGCTCCTTTGTGCCCGGCATTTTAACGTTAAACCTAAAATTAGAGGGAGGATTCAAAGTGAACACAATTAAGCATCGTCAATGAAACTGTCACACCAGTGAAAACAAAAGCGCAGCGAATTTAACGAAACCATCGGATGAACGCGTCCTCTCTCTGTGTGCACGTACGGCCTGTTTCAGTTCGCATCGTTGATATTGCATTCTGGATGCCTGTCTGGTTGGCCGATGCATTTCTGTCGAGCGGTGATGCTTTCTGGAATGCTCGTTTCGCGTTTCATGTTTAGTTGCCGCGATTCATACAGGACCGGTTCATGTGTGCTACTAAACGCAGTATAGCACAAAGATACGCTCTACTCTCTACTCTAAGTAATCACCGGAGTATAACGAAGAAGAGTGCACGTATATAGGGGAAGAATCTGATGAACCAATTTGATACACATCTCTCTACAGCTGGCTTTAATAAAACTCCGCTGGAAACTGAATTCCAAATCCGGTTATCCATTACTCGCGTAAAACTTGTTTTGAAATATACTACCTATAAGTTGTAAGCACTTCGTTTATAAAACAAGGCTTTTCCATTTGATAATTCCCGTCGTCAAATAATTCCCACACGAGATAATTCCATATTATAGTCGATCAATGGAATAAATATCAACGCCGACGAGTACGAGCGGTCGAAAGCTTTCCATTGCGACCTTTATATTGCGGTTAATCAAAATCCCTAATGAAATTCTCTAAAATTTCAATTATCCATGCGCTCTCACAAATGACTTCGCTAACAACTATTTTCTAGGAAATTAATTAATTTAATCTCACGGAAGTAGACTGGATATCAGCGCGATCTCCCGGCATATCTTTAATAAGCCCATTACGTATTATCTGATTTTGATTAGTTTTAGAATGTTGATTAACGCCTCATACGGCGAAATATGGATATGGGTGCATGTTGTGAACGGCCGTTATTGGCGAAAATGATGGACCTGTATTGGATGGTTGATCATTCGAAGGCTTTCTGCTATCAGTACACGCTATTATACTCAATTATCGCTACACATAATAAGGTTCTATACACTGAATTTACAGGTTTATTTTCGATATAATGAAGAGTTTATGTTGTTGGAATTTTATCAAAACACCTTGTATAAATACGTGGACAAGATTGATAAAAAATATATTTTTAGATGGATAGAAAGATGTTATGTGGGTAGACGTTATAAATTTTTTCGTTTAATCATTGGAAAATTAGCTACCCAGTCGACCTTAAATTCGACAACCCTTCAGAGGCGTATTCCAGATTCCAGGTGTCCCCGTCCATAAATAGAGAAAGGAGCAAGGGCCTTGCGACGACGCGATCTGATGTGTTAGTTCGATTGCTATGTGAAAACACCTCGTCTGGAATAACTACATATTTTCCGATCGAATTGATTTTCCAGCTACACATTTTCCATTTTCCTGTAAACATTACATATGCATTATACACGGTTGTTCGTGCTCAAATGGGGCTGAAATTATTAATATCGAAACTATATGCTATTTGAAGTTGTTCTTTGCCTCTTTACCTTTACCAATCAATTACTATTTCTTCCCTATTAATGGGAACTTATAGAAGTTGGAAATCGTTAGATATTTTACTGCTGTGTAAACTTTTCATTTAATACAATTCGCTTCTTAGCCATTCTATGTAGTATTTACGACTAAGTACCTACTTACATATGTCTACAAACACAATGTCGTTCATTTCAACCAACTATAAACTTGTAAATTCATTTCGGGAACTGTTTCGCCGTTTCAAACGCAACGCGACCAAGTCGCTCTGTTTAATTACTTTCACTTCATCATGAATAAATCCGCCACCGAACAGAGACGTACTACTTGGAATATCGCATTAGCTCATCTGATTAAATGCTTTGAAGCAAGCATTTGATACGTGTTCGTATTCGTGTGTAAGGAAACTATTATCTTGTAGTATCTAATTCGAAACAGACTAGACTGATTATAAAATATTGGTCAAAATTTCCCTTGCTAATTTTGAGTTATGTATATTGTTGTGTAATTCAAACCATATCACAATAAAGTTCCTACTTAATTAATTAGAAAGTTTGTAACATATACTGTGGATGTTATAGGATTAATTAGTTTATGAGGTATTAACCGGAAGAAACTTAATAATTTGGGTTAATCCATCGAAAAAAGGCTAATTAAGCGAAAGCGAGGCAATAACGAAGAAAAATTGCACCACGTCCGACCCAACCCAAAGATTTTGCTCATTTGCGAGGAGGCGGTGGAAAAACCGAAATTGGCTTTTTAAAAATGTTTGCTGTACCTCCACAAATGGGTTCCGCCCGTTCCTATATTAACTACTTCAGAATATAATTTGAATTTTTAAAAGCTCATTAAATGCAAATTTCTCAGTTAAGCGACATCAACGCTTTCGACCGGATAAAACATTTTTTATACTAAAGAACCGCCACTTGCTCCTGCGGTTATTTCAGTACTAAAAGAATTAACTCTAATTAAAAAAAATATTTGGCAGTGCCATTTGCGCGATGACAAATTCTATTAAACCCGACACCGAAAGTTTTTGCCCACAAGCGCCATTAGTTTTACAACAACCAGCCATACGGACGTTTCGCCGTTACCTAATAAAAAAACTAGATGAAATACAATTCCACAGTCGCGTTTCGTCCCGACAAAGCTCATTACGAGAAAATGCATTTAAGTAAAACCCTTCAGCGGCGGAATTTCGCTTCAAATCCCCGGCAAATTACTGTACTTCCATGGAAAATCTCCTGCGAGTACGTCCCGGCGTAAGAATAACACGGCGGGTTTAATTTCTTATCGGCATTGCCGCTCAGGTAAATCGATTTGTCCGCCTTGTCGTCTATTACTAAGCGTCGGAATTTGAATTTTTCGATAGGATCATTGTTTGCACTCCCGTTTACTTTAAAATACTGCTAATGGATTTTCGAAATTGTGTACAAGCTTCGCGCCGATGTTGCACTTACTACTTTTTAACGAGGAATAGGACAATGTTTAACTAGATTACCGGCAATTTTAATACCTCTTCGGTAGACAAAATGGAAAGCATCCAAGGATAATGGAATTAATCAATTTGTTTATACTGGCAAAGTTTGTATCAGGTTTCAATTTCTACTGTTTATGTAATTGGAGATATTAATAAAGAGCGTACTTAAGTTATTGAGAAGATTAACTTTATGTAGGTAGTAATTTGTACTGATTACGATATAATATTTTATTTATGAACGGACTATAACATGTACATATCAGTTATAGGATTCAATTAATTGTCTATATATAAAAATGATTGAAGTATATCTGATTGACATTATCATCGACGTCCCTATATATATATATTAAAAATTCTCAACAAATCTATTGTTTCACGTTACTGAGTCGACGATCAGATGTCTTAGATTATCAACAATTATCTGCGAAATTATTAAAGAGTGAAGAATTCTAAATCTGACAATTAGCAAAGTGAATTGAAACATGACTTCAAAATTATAACGTTGAGGTTATAGTATGTAGCGGATAACTACCGCTACATAACTTCCCTCTCTACAAAAGATAAACGCACATGCAAAAACATCAACTATTAATTGTATTTAAAACGAAAGTACGAACATTATTATTTGGTTTTGGAATATTATCTGGCTCTAATAATGTAAAAGCTGGCTTAAGCCTATCAATATTGACAAATGACTCTTT